AAATTAAATCCGTATATAAGAAAATAGCTAAATTGGAATATATTTATATCTAATCAACGGAAAGTAAATCCGTATATAAGAAAATTATACTTTTCTATGAAAAAAAAGCGAATTAAAATAGAAATTAATCAACGGACAGTAAATCGTGTAAACCGAATATTTAACCAGGCTTTAGAGAAGGGAATTGTATCAGGCGGTGTTGTTTTCTTCTTATCAGTTAAGCCAGTTTTCATATGTCGAAAATGAATAGTTTCTAGTAAGGTGCTAACAATTCAAAAAGACAGCATGTTTTTTAGCACGGTTGAATACGCTCATCGAGTTACCTCGATTCAGATTTTCGGAAGACATTTTTGGTGAAAAAATTTTAAAATATTGATTTTTTAAAATGGGCGAAAATGACGAAAGTTTTGAATGACAAGCAAAATTTTTATGTTTGAGCATCTTTTAAAATCCCCAAACCATCTTTTCTTATTTTGCATTGAGAACGGAATCTAGAAAGCTAATTTGGAGAATTTTAGAAGCTAAAATGGACTCAAAATCCATTTTATTTTGAAAATCTCTGCGAAACACTAGCAGGATAGTAAACAGGCAGGCAGGCAGTTTTGTAAAACTATCTAGTCCTAGGGTTTAGGAGATACAATTCTTTCTTTTACTTCATTCTCATCGCCATACTTGTAGGAAAAGAGCTAAATATCCTTTTTGAAAAATTTTGTTTCGTTGCCGAGAAATTGAGTTTTTTCGAATTCAGTGAAAAATAATGATACTCGGCTCGTATTTTGTCGTTTCCTTTATCAGAATTCAACTTTTCGACAAAAACCATGCCATTTTCGGAATCAGCACTGAAAACAGAGTTGAAACATGTATGTTTTGGAAGTTTTAGACTAGTCCGTATTTTTTTCGGTTCTACTGCCTCTTTATCATCCTGCTAGTGTTTCGCAGATTCGGAGTCCATTTCAGCTTCTAAAATTCCCCAAATTAGCTTTCTAGATTCCGTTCTCAATGCAAAATAAGAAAAGATGGTTTGGGGATTTTAAAAGATGCTCAAACGTAAAAATTTTGCTTGTCATTCAAAACTTTCGTCATTTTCGCCCATTTTAAAAAATCAATATTTTAAAATTTTTTCACCAAAAAATGTCTTCCGAAAATCTGAATCGAGGTTTTCTAGGTAACTCGATGAGCGTATTCAACCGTGCTAAAAAGCATGCTATCTTTTCGAATTGCCTTATAAATATTTACGCTTTTCTCCATGTGTTCTGTTTATTTCTTCATGTTTATATATCCTTGTGGAAGAAAATAGTTGCACACAGTATTTTTAGGATATTTTCCTTACGAAAACATACTTTTACAAAAGTGATCACATATTCTGATAGCACTTGAAATTCTCTACAATTCTGTATATTTAAATCTAGTCTTGCATTTATTTGCTGAAAAATATATTGAGTGTAATGACGGCCCCCTCATCGTCAGATTCCCAGAAATTGTAATGAGTGTGGCATCTCAATATTTTCTATTTTTCTCGTGTTTCTTTAGGACTCAAGGTTAATGTTTTTTTAAAAAGATGCGCCGCAAAATGCTTTACAAAACCATACCTAATCTTTAATTTTAGAGCTTCAAACAAGAAAACTACGCAGATTATACGAAAGACGAAAAAAATAAAAACTTTGAAAATCTGTTATTTTTTTCCATCTAAACCTTTTTCTTTTGCTACTATTTCCGTAAAAAAAGGGTTGCAAAAGTGAGAAGTCAGTTCTTTTTGTACTTCTGAATGTGCTCTTTCTCGTGGTCTGTAAAAAAATCTTTTAGAACAGATGGTGTGGAAAAAACTAAAAAAGTAGCGAAAAACTGCACCTTTTTTGGTACTTATCAATTGGGGGTACCTTCGCTGTACTCAAATTATTTTTCAGCAAATAAATGTAAGACAAGACATAAATATATAGGATGATAGAGAATTTTAGACGCTATCAGAATATATAATTACTTTTATAAAAAGCAATTTCTATAGTGATGATAAATTTAAAAAGCAAGTTGAAGAAATAGTAACAAAATGCAGTCCGTAAGAATCTGATAATGTGGGGTCCGTCGTTGTTTTTCAGCAAATAAAGGCAAGACAAGATATAAATATACAGAATTGTAGAGAATTCCAAGTGCTATCAGAATATGTGATCATTTTTGTAAAAGTATGTTTTCGTAAGGAAAATATCTTAAAAGTACTGTGTGCAACTATTTTATTCCACGAGGATATTATTAGTGCAATTCATTTTCAAGATTCTTGTGCGATTCTTACAAAAAACATTTTGGCATTCATCATTTGACAGTAAATTTAACATTTTGTATCTCTTATGTAAGCCAGCGATGAAGAAAATGCACTCAAAGTCATAATAAATAAATTATCAACTAGTGAAATGGATAATGAACTAATTGAATATGTTAGGAAATTTATTAAAGTGAACAAAACATCGTTATTAATGGATGCATTGAAATCCATTGGGCAACATTTTATTTAGCATCAAGTTAGTGAAACGTTAACATTATTTTGGAATTTATCCTGTGATACAATGTTGGAAATACCATTCACACACGATTTAGTCCAATTTTATTCAGAGTCAGTACAACATAATAGTAATTTACCTTATATATATTTATTTGAAGTAAGTCAAAGAGTTTGTTTGTGTGAATATGTATCACAACTACTTCCATGTTTTACTTATCAAAACATTTTACTGTATGATATATTTTAATCTTTTCTCTAGTTTTTTATTGACAAAAATGATATGGTATCACTTCAAGAAATAGTTGATTTAGTCACATTGCAACATGGTGCACAAAATGTTTTACATGATCTAGGTTTAGTATTAATTAAATGTGAGAAATTAAAACATGGAGAAAAAATATTCCAATTACCATGGCTGAGAGCAAAAAATGAACGAGTTGAAAATCATATGAGAAAATTTATTAGTTAGTTTTTTCCTTTTATATATGATCTATTTTACATCCTCTTTGCCAGCCAGTATTTGACTTTTTATTATTCCAGGTCAAAATAATCTCAGTGTACTAATAAATTCGATTGGATTAACAAAAAATTTGAATAATATTGAACTGAGTCACATGTATACGACAGCTTTGAGGTATGTATAAGTTAGTTTTGTGATTTCTTCTATTGTTCACACGATTTTTTTCCATATTCAGAGTGGCATTTAAACAAAATCAACTTAAAAGGGCTGATTATCTCAATCAACAAATTGAAGAAAACAATTCCTATTTATCAGAAACTAATAAAATAAATAAAATTTATTATTACTGGCGCTGTAAAACTGCTTTACTTTAGATATGTTCACTCTTATCGGCAAACTAACGGTCTGTCACCGCTGAGGATTACAGAGCAACCACAATTACCTAATAATGTAGAAGAGAGTGATAATATGTTTATATCAGAATTAGATATGACAGAGATGTGATAGTTAAAATAAAGATAATATTTTGTTTCTCTCGTTTTTATAGAAAATAAACAAAAATCAGAAATACGTGTATGGTGAGCTGAGAATTTTCTGTGTACACAATTCTTTTCTTCATCAAATTGTTAGAAATATTTTGTAAATATTTTTATGTCTTACTATTTCTTTTAATGTTTGCTTTGTTTTTGTTTGATCATTAGTTCAATTTGCTGTATAAATTTCTTTTTTGTCTCATTATCTAGTCTAGACCACTAATGAAGTTGTTTGTCTCTTTCAGAGCATAGTGTTTAATAAATAGGAAAAACATCTTTAACGGAAAAAAGTGATATCGCGAAATTTTTTAAAACGATTCAGTGCACACTGTTCGTTTTATGGTACCCTTTTGTGGATAATGTGGCCTAGATGTTTTCTACGAGCAGGCTCATGTTGGAGATACTATTCTTTTCAAGCTACATAAAGACTTAGTGGATTTTCCATGTATGATGTTATTAATTTCACCTTTTCGTTTACTAGAGGTGTGTGTGTGTGTGTTTATTTGACGGTGTCCCCCTCAGAAATGGTGATTTTCGGTCAAAAAATTGGTTTTGAGATACGCACATGAAAAGATAGCCTGAAGTGTCTACTTTCAGAATCTGTATTGCTTTTGGTTACAAAAGTAGTTTATCGGGGATTTTGGGCAAGTTTTCTAAGAGCCTTGAAAAACCTGGGCTTCAAATAATAGTTTTTTCCTGGATAGTGATGCAATTAAAAGTTTTTTGAACATCCAGCTTTGTAGAGCAAACTTTTCTGATCAAAATAGGACCTCGCACAACTCAGTATGATCTTGCATCAAAAAGTTACAAGCGTTTTCCTAGAAGTCATAAAATCGAGTAATTCATACAGCGTTTAATACAGCGTTTTCACCATATAAGAGTTGTTTTCACCATATAAGAGTTACACCTGTTCCTAACTATTAGAAGATTATGCAGCTACTCAAATCAAAGATTGTCTATTAGATTTTTCAGACACGATACAGTAGCAGTTGAAATGGATGTTGTTTAAGGTAATCATCAAGGTATGTGATTAGAAATTAGTCGTAAATCAAAGAAATATCCTATTCTTAATACAAGCACAACCACATAAAAATCCAAAATTGTTGATGTTAATGATGAAGAAGTAGTTGATTCATCAGTTCCATGAAACAGTTAGCAATGAGTTGAAGTTCAATTAAATTATGTAGAAAACATTTATTCCCCGTTTGTTATAAAGAAAAAGCAAATCTTTTGTTCAGCAAATATACATATCTAATATTTATTATCGAATTGTGCACGTTACCAACTGTTGCTGTCTCACTCGACGCACCGACGAATCTGTTCCGATCGTGTTTATAATTAATACAAAAACCAAAAGTAAGTTACAAACTGTTTGAATATTAATAACTAAACTTAGAACAGATTTATAGATGCCCAGTATAAAGGAAATGTTCCTCCGACGACTAAAAAATGCTAAGGTTAATGAGGATAATGTATAGTTTTATGCTTTCTAACGATCACAACCTTAATTCAAACAATCCAGTTCAATTTTTTTTAAGGAAAACGTTTACGATGTCGAACATTACTTTATCAGATTCTTGGTCTGTTCTTTGTGAAGTGACTTGGAATATTTTCGCTTGTTGAACAATACATTTCATTACCTAACAATTAGAATTCATAGGATAGAGTTTTTGGAGAAATTCAGAATCGAAAACCAATTTTTTGTTGTTGAAATGGTTGTATTTTTATGTGTTGTTTTTAGTCTACGCTTTTAATTTAGAAAATATCCACAGTATAGATTTTCTACTATTACTAGCCAATGTGCTGTAGGTCAACATTAAAAACTATGATTTGAGCTTTCTCTTTTCTTTTATTTTGATATTATTTTAAATCAAACACATATTCTCTTTTCAATTATTTTCGAAGCTCTTTCAATGACATAGCATATATTCGTTGATTACTCATACATCTTAATAGCAGATTATGGTGAATATGTTTTTTCGGGATTATCTCGTCATTAAACGAAAAGCGTTTTTCTAGACTTCCACCTCTAATAAATATACATGACTTCTCCGTCACCTTTGTAAATAATATGAATTTAAATTCTTGAAAATATGTTAAAATAAATGAATTATAAAAAAGAATAAAGCGAATCAAAGAATAGGATGGATAGAATGAATAAGATACGATTTTTTTAGAATGAGTATAATTGATCTCTAGTTTTGTTGATTCTCGCATCCATAACTGAAGGGATAGATATCTGTTGATTTTCACCTTTTGGTAGAGAACATGGACTACATCAATTTTTCAAAAACTACTCTCTAAAAGAATGTGTAGCTCGCAAAACAGATACCACTTTTAATATTTGTTTCTAATAGAAACCGATATCCATATTGTATAGTCCTATTTAGCCGTTTCGAAGAATACGCTGGAACGTTGTCTTTTCCGTGTCGAAATGGATTAAGGTTTTGTACGAGCAGAGAAATGTTTAAGCATACCTGTGAAACGGTTAAACAGGAATATACAATATGGATATCGGTTTCTATTAGGAACAAATGTTAAAAGCGGTATCCGCTTTGTAAGCTACAGATATTTTTAGAAAGTACAAGGCATATCTAGTAGATCTTTCTTTCTAACATCAGTTTGCCACATTATGTCGTTCGATACAAACCTATTTGTTCTTGAACGAGTGTTCATAGCTCCAACTATCCTCTATACATTCACACACATCCGTAGTTCCCACTTATTATGTTTTTGATGATGTTGTAATTTTCTCATGAACTCCGTAATTGGATCTCGACACTTATTGTACACTGTTTTCGTTGGATTTTACCGAAGACCAAGCATGGTCATGAAATATAGAGTGGTCCATAACCTATGTGTTCACTCATTGACAATATTACTTTAAAGCAACGAGATTCAATTGTATGAGCTCATGAGAAAACTGAGATATCATCAGAAACTAAATAAATGAAAAATTTACGTGAAATACGTAGAGAACACTTAGGATGACGAATACTCGTTCGAAGACAAATGGGTTTGTATAGATCGACATAATGTCATAATCTGATATCCTAATGATGACTATCAGAGTCACACGGTAATTGTATTCATAGAAAAGAAGCACAGTAATTATTAATCGTTAATTTAACATCCATAACTAAACTAATGATTCTAAGACATAATTTTAAATTATATAAACTCTATTCATTGTGCGATAGAAAAAAGGTAACAGAATGACGACAAATTAGCGTCATAGAGTTGAATAACTTAAATTTTATAGAAAGATTTTAAATATTAATGAAGTTTAACAAATATTTGCCAGTCTCAACACAATTGTTTGTCTATTTGTACAATTCTAGTTTGAGAATTAGACCAATAGAATAAATCAAAAAGAGCTGCTAGAAAGACATATCTTATGAAAGAGGGATACGAAATACAATTCACTTTTTCTGAAATCTGAAAGTAAGGATTTTAAACATCAAATAATAAAATAAACATTTTTTTTCATTATTAAAAGCGATTATTATCAATCACGTTTTTTTCTTCTTGCAAACTGTTTATATAACCAATAATAAAATAATATTTCAAATAAGTTCTTCACTTTTTAAAAAGGTAAAAGCATATTAGAAAGTTAATCTCTTTTTATTTTTTTCCATCAATTCAAAGAGATCACTTCTGTCTGTACTGTCATTTTTACCTTTTCTTTCTGTCAATCTCAGATAGATATTCACTTAATATATTGTTTATTCAACAGTTTGAATGTGCAAAAAAACCTCTTGGTATGTTCATTGAGTAGATAAACACTTACTGTGTGTGCAACAGTAAGTGACATTCATTTTATTTTAAAATTTATACATTAATGTTGAATATACGCTGTTTACTTTATGATTGTTGCTGTTGTTAGTGAAACTGTTATAAAAAAATTTGTAGTAACTAACTAACAATGAAGGTTTTTGTTATGAAAGAAGAAAATAACTGAGTATATTGCTTTTATATTTAATTATTAAACACAGTTATAGAAACTAAACTGTCATTCTAGAGTAATCTAGAAACATATGTAGATATAGAGAATCTTATTAAATTTAATCTGCAACAATCGACGCCTATTTAGATGTATAGCAAATTGAGAGATAAGTGGCATCTAGAATTTCTTCAATTTCAAGTCGGCTTATGAACAAAAATAGTTGTCATGAATTGTTGTCAATCAAATAATACCTTATCTCTCTTCATGTTATAAAAATATATATTTGTATGCGTGTCATTAAAGCCCTATACTTAAAAGAATTTTTTACATTTATCTTTAGGGAAAAATGAGAATATTCTACAATTAATGTATGATATCTATACATCTTTCATTACATTTTTCTAGAAATTTTAACTAAAACAAAAATTATATAAACATCGTATTATCATAGATATAATTATTCTCATGGAATTATAAAAAATTTTAAAATATTTTTCATAAACGTACAATCTAGTATTATCTAAAATTTTCTTAAAAAAGATTCATATTCTTTTACAATTAAATCATTTTAAAACATAATATTTTCTAAATATTTATGTCAAAATGAATAATATCCTTATTAATTTTAGTAAGTTATTTAAATTATATTTTATGTCTAAGTTAATTCCAAGGTCAATATGACTTTAAATGTTAAGATAAATTTTATTTTTTATACTTTTATTAATCGTTAAAATGTCTATACCTGATCACGCGCATAATACATACATATTCCGATTTTTAAACGATTAAGGATCTATATTAACGATCTCTCATTTAAAATAGAAGTAAGAATAAAGATGAATGAGTTGAAACGCGTGTAACTATAAAAGCTTTTCTTATTTTTCTTTACAGTGACATTCAAATTGTGGTAAAGCAATTTGTAACACGAATCAGCATAACAATATTGAAGTTTTTTGTTAACCCAACAACATATATATATATACACACATTGTCATTAGCAAATTATAGGGTATGACCAATTGCACTCACTCTTTAGATTGTAGAGATAACAATCTAAGAAGAATATAATTATGATTATATTTTCATTAGATTTACACAGTAGTAGAAATAATATTTTATTTTGAAAATGTAGAGATATATTTCACGTTTATATTTAATCAAAACTTTGATCTGTAAATTGAGAAATTTTTCTCTAATATCTAATTAAATTCATAATCTTTAATAATAATTGTCTTTTAGTTTAAAAATTTTTTGCCAATTTTCTTTTCAAAAACATTTATTTTGTTATTTTTTTTTTGATAAAATTTCTATATAATAATAATAATAATATCTAGTCTAAAGTTTTATGAAAAAAAAAATTAAATTGACACTTTTTTGACTTTTATGTAAACGATTTTAAAAAGAAGATGAAGAAGAAGAAAAAAAAAAAATTGATTTCACATTTGTTTGACTTCATGAAAAAATGGAATTTTCGTTTTTTTTTTTTGTGTGTATGTGTTCAAAAATCAAACAATGTGAATTTCACTTATTCGATACTGTTGTGTTTGATGCCCTACAACAAAATGTAATGTATTTGTTATAGTAGTGTCTATAAAAGATCAATGTAAAACGATTCATTGATTTCTAAGGATCCTGTTAACGGTCATTTGTTTTAACTTATTTATTAGTTACTTTTCTTCGTCATAGAAAATAAAGTGTATAAAATTGACAAATATGGATATATACTTACTGTTAATAGTATTTTAGATTTTTGTGAAATCTATGTGCCCGTATGAATGATAAAACAAGTAGATGATGTTTGTTTTTATTCAATACTAATCAAGAATAAATGAGTATACACATGAAAGAAAACAAAAAAAAAAATTTTTTTTTTTTCTTGATAATTTATATATTATGTCACTGGTAGTTATTTTTAAAAATGAATAAAAATCATTTTTCAATAACAAATAAAAATCTGTCCTGTATATTTAATGAAAAGTTTACATTCTCAATTTATTATTTAGATCAAACACATCTGACATATTTTAGAATGTATTTTAATTTATAGCTCTTGATAATACTAACATATTTATTTTATTAATTAGAATATTACTTTTTCTATTATTGACAACTTTAAAGTCTATTTTCTTCTCTTCTATCGCATAAAATATTCATGAAAAGAAATGATGTTTTACAATCAACAGTTACCTTATTTCCTTTTATTTCTCAAATATGTCAGATGTTTTTATCGTCACAAAAGAAAAGAAAGGTATATAGACATTGCAATTAGTAAAGTAGTAGTCACTTTGATTCCTAAAAAATAAAAATAAAAAAAAAAAAAAAAAAAACCGCGCAACTCTTTTTTAAATTAAAAAAGAAAATAAAAAAAAAAAATGTCGTTTTTTTTTTTTTTTTTTTTTTTGGGTTTTTTTAAAAAAAATTTTGTTTAAAAAAAAAATAAAATTTTATTNTGACAACATATAAATCCAGATGTCCAACTATAGAAAAATGTAGTCTATTTCATATGATCATCTGTATAATGAGAGAAAGATAGAAGACTTTTTTTTTTTCTACTTCTCTTGTTTAAACGAACATTAGTGATAAAACAAAAGGAACATTTAATGGTAAATGTGCAATACGTGTCTACTTTATTATATTTTTAATCGAAACGGTTATCTTTTTCGACATCAGAAATACGTCCACTTTATCAATACTCATGGTCTTTGACTACCTATTAACGGTTGTTGCTTTAAAGCAATTAGGTAGACCATATTAATGATGGATTTTTGATATATGTAGATATATATACACTGCTGAGATTGACACTGGACATAGGTGTGAATTCAAACAGAATGAGAAACTCTAATGAGAAGCAATTGTGCAATTGATTTAATAGAACTAATTTAGAGAGTGAGGACAAGTAGCACTAGAAAGATGTGTGGGGATGATAATCATAAAAAAAAAAAGTCTTCTATCTTTCTCTCATTATACAGATGATCATATGAAATAGACTACATTTTTCTATAGTTGGACATCTGGATTTATATGTTGTCAAGTTTACAACTGATACATACGTTCAGATATTGAATTATTCAATCATATTTTCTCGTCATACGAGAATATTCTATGTTATATCATGGATTCATTTCTAAAAACCTATTCTATAGTGCAAAAGTTGAAAAATATCATTTTCTTTCGTTGGTATACCTTGAAAAATCTTAATTTAGTTTCATTTAATTTCTTTCGTCGTTTTATTGTTAGTTTGATGTTAATTAACCCTAATCCGTGCACCTGGGGTCCGTGTGGGCCCCAGAGTACTTTGAAGTTATGTCTTGCTGCTCTGCCAGATAAATAATAAATGGATGCAATCAGTTCATATTGATAGTGCGCCCTATTGTCATTCAGTGGAATATAAAGTGAAGTGGTAAAATCTAACCATTGTGTTCAGGCAATATTCAAATGAAACCGGTAGAATTTGAGCATATTATAGGCGATCGGATCAGGGTTAAATAGAGTTTAAAATAATCTATCTATACTGGATTTTATCATAGTTTCACTGTTATTCAAGAGTATACATGGATGGGACAATTCGAATTGGTATATATACTTAGAATCTTGTGCAGTACACATAGTGTGTGTTGGGTCCAATGATAATAACAGATCTTTTTTAGAAGTAAAAATTAAATGAGTGAAGATTGTTCTAAATATTTAAACAAAAAACGGATTTTTAAGATAAAGTTCTGCAAATTAAAGATGATTTGAAACATAATTGAAAAGAAAAAAATATATTAACTTTTCACAATTTTAATTGTGTTTATGAAATACGAAAAAGACAACTTAAATTTTCAAGTTTTATAGAATTAATGTATACTATCATTTCGTGGTAGACGATCCAATTTTTTTTCTCCATCCGCCAACAAACCTGTATAGTAAACGATATATATGACATTTACTCCTTTTCTAAATATAAAAAGAAAGAAAATGGCTCCGTGTCTGTATTTTTATCAAATTATACTTTCATTCTCTTCTCTATCGTGTATATACAAATATAATGTGTTGAATCTCTCCTCTATTTCTTTTTTTTTCTCCTTTTCTTTTCATTCATAATCTTTCTTTCATTGGTTGATGCTCCATAATAGAGTGAGTGTGTATTATGAGCCAATCATATTTAAATATAGGGTGGATATTGATAGAGAAATGGAATATGATCGTTCTAATTATCTATTCAAACCTCTTCATTCGTCGAGAAAAGAGAAATAAATATAGTTACAAATATAAATGTATTTGTGTATGTGCGATTCTACCTTAATTAACCTTTTCTTTTCTTCTTTTCTTGATCTACCAGTAAGCACCAATAGCAACAGTAAACGAGACGAGGAGAAGAAAAAAAAAGAGAAGAAAACTGATCCGAGAAAACATTGAGGAAGAAAATGATACTATGAAAAGAAAAAAAAAAGAAAGAATTGACATTGGAACACACATATACGCAAATGCAATCATATACCCAGGACCCCCCCTCTTTCTTTTGCAAATGATACATATTAAATGGTGCTGTTGATGATGCGATGAAAGTCTGAAGTAAAAAAGAAAAATTTACCGGAATCGTTTTTTTTTTTCTTCTTCTTCGCCTATGTGCAGACACTTACGGTACAGTGCGTTAAAAAGTAAATTATGACAAAAAAGAAAACAGTAGTCGAGCTCGCTCAAATATATGTATCTTTTATAGAGAGAAAAGAAACGAACGAACGACAAGTGATACCGACACTCGATAAAATAAGCATACAAAAAATAAACCCATATCACATACAAGCACATACATATTTGTTAAAAAAACTAAACCAGCTACATTAGTTCGAATCGTCTTCATTTGAGTATTCTTTTATTCAAATATAGCTGTCATTGGTCATATACAGTTGAGTGATTATCAATTAGTGTACAATGAGATATTAGAACATTAGACCCAAACAATTAAACTTCAATAAATTCAAACGATTATATTGCCAGGTTAGTATAGTAAATTTATTAGAAACAACATATTTTTAGTAGTCGAACTTCTTACATCATTTAAATTTGTTATGGTGCTAAGAAGTCATATACCTATAATATCAATTGTTTCCTTAAACCTAATGAAAAAATGATTAGAAGGATTAGGATAGCATAGTTTTGCAACTTTTTTTGAGATTTAATTTATAGTTCAAGTTTAATTAATTTAGATTCTTGAACATTTGAGTGTTGATTCCAATTGGAACTTCGATTTTTCTATAAAGACTGGTTGTTATTATCTGTTTCAATTTGAACTAAAGTTGTGCTTTATAAAAACTCAAAACGTCCTTTACCAAGTTCACTCCACTTCCAGCGCCTAGGGCAATTATACCAACCACAACAACGGCCGTGTCGCCATCGTCCACCTCACCGCCGTCTGCTGTAGCTCAGCTACAAGCAGCAGCGGCTGTTGCTGCGGCCGCATCGAACCCTCTTAGTCATTTATTTCCCTATGGTGTCGGACTATTTCCAATGCCACCATTACCAGCATTAAATTTTTCATCAGAACAAGTGGCTAAAGTATGTGAAGCATTAGAAGAAAGTGGTGATATTGATCGTCTGGGCCGGTTTTTATGGTCAATTACAGCCATGCCCGGCTCAAATTTATTAACACAACATGAGAGCATTCTACGTGCTCGAGCTCTCGTAGCATTTCATCTAGGAAATTATCGTGAATTATATCATCTGTTAGAAAATCATAAATATACAAGAGATTCACATGCGAAATTACAAGCAATGTGGATGGAAGCACATTATCAAGAAGCCGAAAAACTTCGTGGTCGTCCATTAGGACCAGTTGATAAATATCGTGTAAGAAAAAAATATCCCTTGCCACGAACAATTTGGGATGGTGAACAAAAAACACATTGTTTTAAAGAAAGAACACGATCACTATTGCGTGAATGGTATTTACAAGATCCATATCCGAATCCAGCTAAAAAACGTGAATTGGCACAAGCCACAGGACTAACCCCCACTCAAGTTGGTAATTGGTTTAAAAATAGACGACAAAGAGATAGAGCTGCAGCAGCTAAAAATCGGTAAGTAATACGAGTAAAACAGTTTATATCACTTCAAAACAATGTTATGAGTATTTCTAAAACTACTAGCTTGCCAGTTGAATCGATCTTTTAATCTGATTCATCTGAAATCCTTCTTAGTATTCTGTTTGAGATAAGTTGATGGATTTAGCTAGTTATGCGTTCCTTTATTCTTCCTCGGTATTCCATTTGTTTTTATTGAATTGAGATGCTACACGATTATTTAGAATGTCCAGTCAACAGTATGGATTGAGTGGTGGAAGTTATTCGCCTCCATCAAGTCCCGAATCATCGTCATAGTCAAATGAACATATAAAATCCCCAAAAAAGAGCCCGGTGCTTTATAATATAAAATCTTCATGTGTAGAATTATATTGATAAACTTGATTAGGTAAGTGTGCTGCACATAGCCGTCTCTGTCTGTAAATTGCATGTGTTCGTTCGATTTATGTAACTATTTTTTGTTTTTTGAAAAACTGCTAGCTTCTCTTTTTTTCTTGTTCTTTCAGTGATTTTCTTGATTGCTTGTTTGTTTGCTTTCTTGTTCAGAAAAAAATTATGCCTGTTATTCTCGTATATTTGCCAGATTATTCTTATTTGTTTTGAACATATTAAAATAAAAAGAAAAAAACCATGAATATATATGTATTAAACGTCTAGTCATTGGAAAAAATACTCATTGTTGATCCTAAAATTGATCCTCATATTAGCAACAAATAAGAGATGGATGGGAGCTAAGGTGTATTCTGAATTCTTTATCTGATTAGTAGTAATAGAAGATGAATAAATAAATTTTCCTATTTTTTGCTATTACAGTTGAATAAGTCTTGCTGCCACTAAACATCTGTAGACGTATCGTTCGATATATCAATCCCAAAAAAAATGTATCTTTCTATGTTAATGATTTGTCGTAATAGACACAAATGTGTCATTATTAATACTCGCTTTCTCTTTTCTCTCTACGTATGCCAGAGGATTATACTAAACATAATAGTTATTTGTTTTCACTATATATTCTAATCGTTTGAGGCGCTTGCTCACTGAACAAGGAATAGAATTGATTTTTTCAATTATCCCTACTTCTTCTTTGTCTGTTACCACTATACGTAAACAAAACCGCGTATCGCCGTTAGCCAGATAAACTTATTATACTTGCTCTAATTTCATGGAGAAGCAAATTTTCTCGTCAAGAATAACAGAGATTCTTGTACAAACATCATCATGTGCATACATACAAAAAAAAAAAAAGAAGAAACAATAATCGCTTTTATTCGCAAATGATACATATTATTTCATCATCAACAACTCAAACTGCGAGATGCATCTATACACTTACTCATCGAATAATAGACATCCCATAACACAAACGAAATGGGAAAGAAAGTGTTCTATAAACTTCTTACTGAATATGAAAAATAAAAGTTTCTGCTACAAATATGATGATTGATCAATCAGCAGTTATTGATCTATCTTCTCTCTTAGTGAAAATATCTTTTAGTTACATTATATAGAATATCACCTGATGGAGAACAGTGCTCAATGATTTAATTTTCTTTAAACAAATTTTCGTTAATTTTTGACAAATTCTTGTCATTTTTAAACGATTTTCTACAAAATGATGTCAGAAACAGATCAATCGGTTATGCCTTTGAGAAATCACAAAAAAAACCTGCTTGTTATCTAGTAGAAGATTTATACAATACAATATGATTCACCAGAAATTTAAGAAAATATCAAAGACTATAACATTACTGTAGGATTACAGAGTACAGACAGTCTCATTATATATACTAAACTTTTAATACACCATCGATGTGTATTGATTTTACTATTTCTCAACATTTCCCCTTCTGATGTTTGAATTGATTAAATAAACGAAGTTCATCTCTCTATTATACTATGTTGCTGAATAGAAATACACTATTTTCTTTTAACACTAGATTAATGTCTTTTGGAACTCATATTGTGTATGCTAATTTTTATCGCTGACATTTCACTGCCTTTTTCTTTTTCTTCTTCTTTATTCCCCATTTCTAGAGTGATAATATATTTCTAATAATCATTGCACATGATTTTGATCATGATTGCACGTTCAATTCCTCCTTCTATACATGTTTTCTGTCAAGTTTTTCTGTTGAAACATGTTGTCAAATTACATAGACCATTGATTTTTTTTCTTCTTCATCTTGTGTGAGAAAGAAAGAAGAACATTTTTTTTTTTTTTTTTCATTTATTAAATGATTTTTTGCCTTGCAATTTGTGTTGCGCGATTACAATCTTATTTTATGTACGTATGTAGAAGTTGACAATAGATAGAGGACAGACGATAGTGTGTGTAAAGTAACATATTGAAAAAAAAACACGCCTGCCTATCATCAAAATCGACTAATTTTAGCACCTTTCATCATCATCATCATCATCATCGTCATCATTATTAACGATTTATCTGATGTTTACTAGATTATCTATCGTACTGACTTTACGATTTTTTTATTTTAATAAGATATGATTATTTTATAGGTGTCAAAAAAAATTTGTTTGCTGTAATCCTGAAGCTAAAACAAAATTCACATACCGAAAACAAGAAGTAAGAAATCTGATGCTGATAGATCAGTTTTCTATATTTTGATATATAGACCAGTACCTACATGAAAATTGAGTTAAAGTCATGAGTTTATTTTCATTTATTGTTTGATAGAACAATCTATTATAAGTTACAGAGAGTGTTTGCCGTATATTCATCCGAGAGAATAACATTCTGATAGTTTGATTAGTTAAATAGACTAAATTTTTTTACGATTGTCTCTTCTATTTTGATTATTTAATAAGCTAAAGTTTTACATTTTTTCATAAGAATCAGATACCATTCGATCTTATTTTAAATAATATGGTGATATAGAGTTAATTGAGGGTTAAAAATGATTTAAATCAATAATAATTTTCATTTCAATTTAATAGTACTTTTTTTTTCCCCGTATCAAACGATATATAGAGTGAAAAATGGTTTTTAGTGATGATATTTTACGTAACGTTGAATGAATAGTTTTCATTATCATTTTAATTTTAGTTAAAAAGTGTAGTTGAAATAAGGCCAACGTTGAACATTGATCGCGTTGGATGAACAATTTCTTTTCACCTATCGGATAATTTTCATGGTCATATTCCTATTCTTAACATTGGTCCGTGTGATCTGTTCATCTTTAGTGTTTATTCTATTGGCCATCATTAACATTATGTATCAAAAGCTATATTTGTTGTATAGTATGTGTATATAGCAAGGAAAGGAAAAAGTTAATCATGCGCATAAAACGTCGAATCAAATTGTCACTTAAAAAAAACGATATAGTATAAGTGAACACAAATAAATAAGTATATAACATCGACAACGGGGGAAGAAAAAAAGAAGAAAAACTCAGTGAAGAGTAAAAAATGTGTGAATGATAATAATTAGAACAGTTCGTTACGCAAAGTTAACAGATTGCAAATGATCGTTAATAGAGAAGAGAATGATGATCAAGTGTGTAGATAGACGAATGTGTGAAAAGAAAACTTGAAGAAATACATACAAATTAAGTAGAAGAATGATATAATAGAGACGCCATTTGTGCATACATCTTGATTATCAGCAAATAAATTGATAGGTAGATAGTTCGAATGACTGCATTTTTCAGTTTTTAGTTAAGAATATTACGAAATGTTTAATGAATACAAAGAGAAAGTTAAGAATCATCAATTATATACAATACCTATAAATATCCACAATAGAATCTGTCAAAGATCTTCTTCTGTTTTGAAAATAACTTCAATTATTTATCACATCCAAGTAAAACGTTTTTACTAATTATTTTAGAAACAACTAAAAGTTCGAAATATAATGGAATAAGAAATTTTTCTTTTGAAAACTTTTAAAAAGTTTTTATTTAATACTAAACAAGAAACATGAGCAGTTAAAATCTTTAAAATATACACATTTTTCTATGTAAAGTTGTATTTATTGATAAAAGGAGACATAATTATTGTTCAAATTATCCAACCTAATTTATATGTTGTTGTTCGATCATGTAATGAACAACTATCACGAAGCCGATGACCTCACAACTGACACCTTGATGAAAGATTTTCTCTCTTCTGTATGGTGCCGATCTATTGTATTGTGTCAATTTGTAAACACGATAGAGAGATAATGATCTATGTATTGTCGATAAGCACAGAGAAAACGTTTTCTTTTTTATAACTCAGTATTTACACACGAGATGACATTGTAAGAATGAAGATAATCGATTTGATGGTAAAGAAAAAGAAATCTTTTCTTTCTACTTTAGTAAAAATAACAATTTAGATAGTATAAACGTCTTAGAAATAAGACAGGAATGAAAAAACTGTGTTATAGTAAATTGAGTTGCCTGATCAATTTCTGAACTATGAATAGAGAATGAACAAGAAAAAAAAAAGATTAGAGGATCAGACATATAGAAATAGATAACTCACATAGAAGTTTTGTTATCAGATACTTCTTTTACGCTAAAAATTCCTAAAAAATATTAGAGACTAAACAATTTTAATCGGAACATTCCAATAACGAATATTTAGAGAGAGACAAAAAAAAAATGATTAGATTAAATTTTCTCTACTATTTTGGAAAATATTCTTTATTTTTAACATGCTCAGTCATTTTGAAATGTGTCAGCAAGTTTTGGTGAATACGGTACTTTGATCAGTGTTAGTATCCCTATCATTGACACATCATTCAAACAGTGTAAACGAATCAGCTTTCTTCTAAATTTAAAGGATTAAATTGTGGATTTTTCAAATAAATATATTCTTTGAAAAGAAATTGTACACCATATTGTAGGGCATTGAGTATTCATCACTGATTTTTTCTTTGTCTCAGAAACCGTTTGTCATCACTCTATTTGTGCTTCGAAAATTTGTATCTAATCTAAGATCGTTTTGTCACAAACTCTGAAAGAGATAATTATGTACCAATATCTATCGCAAAAAAAATGACATTTTTTTGTTACACCAAATAGAATCAAAAATTAAATTCTAATCATGACACCATTATACAAAGTTTCATCATCCATATCTGATAAGCCAGTAAAACAAATGAAGAGAAAAACAACAACTTGTTCATATATTTTACCCTAAGGCAATGTGAAGAGATAATTTGTGCTTTTGTCGAAGACAAAAGGATCTATTATATTTTTTTTTCTCGAATTATGATACTAAATGGTAAGATGACTGTTTTCTAAGGAAGAATATAAGATACCCGTTGCACAGAAGGAAAGAGAGAGAGAGAG